TTGTGTGGTGCCTGATAGATGAGTGAGTGTTTGTTGATGTCATCGGTGTCGGCTACGCTGTTTTCTTTCTGTTAGTTTCACCAATAAAGCTTTAGTTGCGAGAGCAGCTTCGTCCTGTTTTGTTTGTTGTCTTCACTCCGTCTTCGTCGTTTGAGCGGTTTTCATCAATACTAGTTCTTATATAGGTCACGAGTAACAACAGTGAGTGTGCAGCTCTGAAGGTCATGTGTGACTCGACGTAGAAAGGCACTATCACACAAAGGCAACGTGTGGAAACATCAGCACGAACGGCTAGAAAACGTGCACGACCGTGGAAGAAAGAAACCTTGATATCCCACTATCCTGTTTTCAAAAGGTAACAAAAGCTTCAAAGAGATTTTCGGGCACCGCGTTGTTACGCATGCACTTTCGGATTTTCGGCATTTACAGTTTCGCTTTCCAAAACACTCTCCCGCAATAGACCTTATTCAGATTTGCGCGCCATCTATCGGACGTGGCGCCAACCTTCCTTCCGACGCCATCTTTGGGGCGACTGGCAAAGCGATGTGGCCGTTTGCGGCGCGTGAAAGCGACGCTCAACGACCGCACGACTGCTCTGTTCCGCTATCGTATTCAACGAGGAAAAATAAAAAACAACCGATGTAAAGATTCGAATCCAATTGTTTTCTTTTCAAGTTAAAGGTAGTATAGCCAACGTTTTAATAGCCGTAGCGCTTTCCTGCACTATTCATGCTCCTAACAAGAGCCGCCCGCGCGTTAGTGTTGTGTGCTTTTGCAAGGCTTTTAAACCGCTTTTAATATATGACACTTTCCACAATGGCATGAAGGGCTCATGATATTTGCATGTAACAACAGAGAGCATATATTATTTCATGTGATCTTTAGGGAGCTCGATGTTGGCCAGCATCGTAGCTTCGCTCGCGCAGAGGAACGGCGAGGTCCAGTCAACATCACTCAGATACACTGGTTCGAGATTTTTTTTTTTTTTTTCTTATTCTCGCTTAACTAAGTCTTTTACATCCGATTGAAGGCTGATGGAAAGTACAGAAGAGCTTGGCAACGTTACAACTTCGTTTAACACATGAATGATAAAGACAACGATGCTAAAAAGCAAAGGTGAACGCCCGCTTACTTTACGCTATATCATTATTATCACGCGACTCTTACATTTCGAGAAACATTTCCGAGATGCAGACGAAAGCGTACAGGCGGGCTCTTCTTGACTGCTAACCTGGACCTGTTGGCGAGTTCAACAGTCGCGCTTACTCGCTTCCCAACAAATCGGGCTCGCGCTGCGGGAGAAGCTTTTTTATTTGGAGCCAATACTGCAAGCAGCCAGTTTTATGAGCGCTGGTCATATTCTATGGCTAGTAAGCATGAAATTTAACTTTATGTAACCGCGCTACCAGGAGGAGCACATTAAAATGTCGCTGACATTTATTAAGGCACTTTCTCTCAAAGGGCAAAGGAGTATATATGCGCTAGTACTGAATTTATTTGTTGGTATTATTATTATGATTATAAAAAAAAAAAATTTCCAACTTTCTGTAAAATCTTTTTTTTTTTTTTTTATACGTTATATTCCGCATTCTTGCATTGCCGCGACACGCCGGTATTTCCTTTTACGCTTTTGTGCCTCGCATACGCTTTGGTGAGCATGCTAGTGTAGCTCTTCAGCGTTTTTTGTTTTTTGTTTATTTTTACATGCGATAAAAACTACTACTATCGTAAATTCGTGATGTATCACACGCTTTCCTTATAATGATGTTTTGACCTACCATTCGATGATCTCCCCAAGAAACTAAATAAAAATCGATGTAATATATTTGTTTTCATGCCTGTGTGTGTGTGTGTTTGCGTGTGTGCGTGTGTGCGCGCGCGCGCGTGTGCGTGTGCGCGTGTGTGTGTGTGTGTGTGTAATCGTATTTTCAATATTCCTAAGGTTAAGACAACGGTAACCAAAATTTAATATTCAAGGCCGCAATCATAGAATTCCGCAATTCGGGTCTACACACGCTGGGCCAATGCGCACTGAGTGAAGAACTCCTCGCATTATTTAGACCCGCAGTCGCAAATGCCAAATAAAAACAAACTGTCACACAGTAGCTGGCGGCTCTGCTAAATATATCATATAAATCGTCTTTGTGCGAACAGGCATAATCGGCGGATCAGGCAACTTAACGCACGATCCTAAAACAAGTGCGTGAGTCGGCCTGCTCTGGTGCTGGAATGAAGCTCATTTTTATAAAAAGGAGATTCTTAGTGAAACCGCTGAAAAAAAACTTGAGCTTAGTATTCGCAAGTTATTCTCGAGCAACTAATACCACCAATATACAAAAAAAAAAAAAAAAAAAAAGTAAAGAAAATAAAAGCGCAGGAACATGCATGAACGCAACGCGGGGAGAGGGGTTCGTACTGCGGCGGGCGGCGGGGAGGCGAAGCCTCAAAGATGGCACCGAACCTCGGATAGTACCCGTGGCCGCCGAGAGATGGCGCTAATAATGAATAAGCTCTATTATTCATTTGGGAGAAATATACCCAATGAGCTGAACAAATATTACAAAAAAGGGCATATTCGTTGTTGGAAAGCTGACGAATTTTAATGATAATAAATCGATATATGTTAAGCATGATCCAACAACCTCCATGTAAACAGAAGAAGAAAAAAATCGGTGTCTCCTCATACGCTCAATTGCCGGTGAGCTTTTCTCCGGGGAACTTTTCTCCGGTGAGCTTTTCGCCGGGATTCATGAAGTTTATGCTCCGCAATTTTGTTTTGACGAAATTTCACATAATCAGCCCGCATTAATTCCGCCGACATTCAGTCGGCGTTTACCTCTGCTTGCGCCCGATTCAAACAGCCGTAGAAAAGTGAGCTAAAGTACGGCCAACGCTCTTACTATACTTCTGCAGTGCTGACGAAGACACGGGCGCTTGTCTGTGCCCTTTTCAGCACCACACAGACGCTATATTGAAAGCTGGGTGCGTGCGCGCGGCTTCGGACATACTAGCGATGTAGAACAAATAATCGTCAAGAACAACATCTAGGATAATAGTAGAAAAGTAACGTGGTAGAACCTCACTGCCATCGCGCGCTCAGTTTCGGGTGTAAAAAAAAAAAATAATAAGGAAAAAAAACAACATATCTTGATACTTCGCACGTGTTTCAGGGAACTTGCGAAGCGTGACGGACGGACTGAAGTGCAGAAAACGAGCGTGTAACCCCAGAGGGGCAGAAACAGGATTTACCGCTTGACGCCTGATCAGATTAGCACGGGGGGGATAATCCCCAGAACTAACAAGAGCAGGAGCCCCTGCTGCCGTTTGCAGTTGGACCCGTTTAGGGCACCTCGCAAATATTTCGAAGTGGGTCCTGTCCCGACTGTTGTTGGCAGTGGACCTCTCCAGAGTCCAGACGTCTGCGAGGCACTTCCCAAGTTCTTCCCCCGTCTTATTTCTACTTTCGTTTATTTAAACTGTATTTTGTTTACGCTCTTGTAAGTGTACTTGCGCTCCCCTCAGCTTGTTGTTTCTTGGTTCGTATGGAGTAGCACCAGGTTGTTATCCCTTCTGTAAATTCGCTTCTTTGCAGTACAACAACAACGTCTGTTTGTAACTTTGCACCTGCTAAACAGCTAATCCTGTGCGTTCGCATTCTTAAAGTCCTCTCCTGCTCTAAAAACCGTTGACATTTTTTTTTTGTTTGTTATTTTTATATTGACAAGCAAATGAGGACATATGTCGTAGTGAGCGTCTGTTCAAGCTGCCAGCCACTAAAACGTTTAACATCTCTATTTATACTAACTCAAAGTAAGTGTTGTTTTTTTTGTTTTTTTTTTTTTAAACAGTTTAAGTTGACAACGCTAGCGCGTTGAAGATTCTCTGGGGCATAGTTGTCCGTCTGTTCACAACGCTTTATACTTGATGCAGACCTCTCTATCTTTATCTATACAACGTCAGACACGCACAGAAATGAATATTAGGCTGTGCACCGATTAAGAATTTTGAACCAATTAATCGTAGAAATCTATCTGATTAGTTAATCGGTTAATCCGTCTAATGAGGAGGACCGTCAGAAATTTTAGAGTAATGCAGAATTTTAGCTATTTATCATTATATATGTGGGCAGATACAACATGAGATAGTAGTCCGACGGGGAAAAGAGCGGAAACTAGGAAAGTTGAGGTGAGAGGGGTGACCTCCTTTCCAAAACGGCTTTTCTTGTGCTTGTGCGCGCTCTTTTCCTTCTCGCCACTGTCTTTCATATGTTGTATCCGACTTAGTTCGTTATTCGAAGCGACATTCATTGAAAGCTTTGAAAAGTTGCACAACAGCCTACCGCAGCGATTCGTCCCATATAGCAACGCCCAAGCTATTAGTTTCTGTATTGATCAAGTTAAACTAACTTTTGGAGCGATGTTGGGGCGAAGTCCTGACATTTCGGTGAAAGTTTGGAGAAGCAGG